GGCCCGCCGTTCCCGCTGCCGTCGTCCTCGTTGACGCCCTGCCAGGTGTTGCCCTGCTGGGAGGAGAAGGTCGACACGAAGTCGCCGCCGCCGCCGCCTCCGCCGCCGCCGTTGCTAGTGAGGCCGTTCAGGAAACCCCGGTTGTTGCGCTCGTCGGAGTAGTGCTGCGAGGACAGCACACCGCGTCCCGAACCGCCGCCGTCCATGGGCGCGGATGTGCTCGCCATGCGGTGGTACATTTCCGCCTCGTTCATCTCGCGGCTGCTCACGATGCCGACCGCGGCGGACCCGTTGGACACGTCCGACAGCGTCGACGCCGCCGACCCCACAGGGGGCGACCCGGCCCCTCCTCCCGTCCTCGACGGTGCCGACTGCCAGACCTCGCCGTAGCCGTGGGGCGGCGCCATCCCCGCGGACGAGGGTCGGCTCGAGTCCAGCGAGCCGGCGCCGTTGCCGTCCCTTCCCTCCGCGCTGAACAGGGCGGACGCCCAGGCGGGCTCGGTCTTGGGACGGGCCATGCTCCCGCCGCCGCCACCGCCGCCGAACCCGCCGCCGTTGTGGAGGCCCTCGTACATGTCGACCTCGCTCTCCCGAAACCCGCCGCCGCCGTTCCTGTAAACGCCGTGTACCGCGTGGCCGCGGGAGTCCAGGCGGGCCTCGTCCTCGATGGCGGCAATGACCGCCGCCGCCGCGCTGACCGTCGCCTGCGCCGCCGTCGCCCGCTCCTGGACGTTGCGGTGGGGCCCGCCGATGCCCCCGCCTCCGTGCGACAGCATCGGGCCCTTCACGTCGCCGTTCGCCCTCGCGCCAAACATCATGTCGCCGTTCACGCCGGTGGCGCCTCCTCCCATGTTGCCGTTGGCCATGCCGCGGCCACCACCACCGCCGCCGCCGCCGCCTCCACGGCCGTAGCCGCCGGCATTCTGGCCGCCGTACATCCGCTGCTGAGCCGCCGCCACCTGAGACGGACGGCTAGCGGCCCCAGCCCTGGCGCGGCCGCGGCCTTCGGCGTTGAGGCGGCTGTCCTGCATGCCGTCCAGCTTGTGCGCCAGGCAGAAGCGAGGCTTCTCGCCCTGGAAGGAGAACACCGGCCGCCTAGAGCACCCGTGGAATTCGCACCTGGGGTACCCGACGAACACGGGAGGGGGCACACGGCAGGTTAGGCTCTCGTCGGTATGAGACACTGCTGAGAAAATAAATCCGTCTCCAGCCCCATCTCTTCGAGGTAAAAAAACAGGAGGGAGCGAGCGAGCGAGCGAGACACGCACAGAGCAGGTGACACTCTGCGAAACGATGCGGACAGGCCCAAAATCGCGATCACTACCAAATGATCTCCGCATCGCCACGTGCAAAGGCGATGGCAGGTCGAACGCAAGCCTGCTCATTGGTCGGTCGGTTGGAGTTGGCACGAGCGCTTAGAGGACGACCAATAAACGGCCTCGCGAGACAACGCACACCGACCGCACCTCCTGTTGTTGACGTTCACGTGCCCGGCCTGCTTGTGGGCGGAGCAAAACGCCGCCTTTTCCCCGTCGAGAGCATAGCTAGCGCGGCGCTCGCAGTTGTCGGCGTTGCATCGGCGCCGCTTCTTGACGTCCACCATGTCTTCCGCCTTGTGGGCGGAGCAGTACTGTGGCATCTCGCCGGGGCGGCCGTACATGGCGTGCTTCGGGCACCCGGTGCTCTTACATCTGCGGGGAGGTGGGGTGGGGTTGGGGGGGGCGTGCACGGCAGGAGGGTGAGGTGAGCACTCCATCTCTTTTGGCGCGCAAGTACAAAATGGGCCAACGACAACAAAACAGCGAAGAGCTCTTGCTCGTTCCGGCAACGTCGTCACGCGTTCTCCACGGTTGAAGTGGAACATCACAGGGGGGATGTGCGCACAAACAACCACAATGTGCGAGTCGACACTGGTTGACAGAAACCGTAGCAGCAGCAGCACATGTATGTGCCAGGCCCGGCCGCGCCCCACAGCAAAACCTAGAGCAGGCCACTAACACTAACGGTCCGTCGCCGAGAGGCTACACAGTCTATCTATCATCTACGAACACCCATACGACGAAAATTCAACGAGTATACTTAAGCACCAGCCCTGCCGTGTCAGCAACGTGCGCCACGGGAAGCATCCAGAACAGAACAGAACATGCAACACCAGACCACACGTGTCGCGGGTGTAGCTGGCGTTCGTAACTCATCCGGCACGCGTGAGTGAGGCAGGGAACTACCCCCGTGCAAAGACGGGGGCCCGTACAAAGGGGACACAGCCACGCGACGACAACGCGGGGGGACAGCTACAAAAAATACGGAAGATGATCCACTTCGTAAGCATTATTTTATTTACCTCGTGGACTTGACGTCAACGTCGCCCTCTCTCTTGTGGGTGAAGCAGAACTGTCTCCGCTGCCCTTCCTTGCCGTAGGACGGCTGGCGCGTGCAGTTGGGCTCCTCGCACCGCCGGTTCCGGACGTCCATCATGCCGGGAAGCTTGTGCCTGGCGCAGAACCGCGGCTGTAGTAATGTTTTTTTAATTTTTGGTCGTGGTGGTGGCGAAGGTGGTAGCCGGGGCATCGTTGTCGTCGCACAACGCACAAGCGAAGCAAAATCACAAGCAGAGCGCGGGTGGGGCGGGGCGGAACCGACAAAGAAAACAAAAGGCAGGAGAAAACTTGGTCAGAGAAGCAGTAACAAGCGTCGAGGCCAACCTATTGTACGAAAGGAGGCTAGAGTTGCCAAGAAAAGGATACGCTGCACGACCGGTGTCAGGTCTGGTAGGACGGAAAGAGACAGCGTTGGCGGCGGAGGAGGAAGAACGGTGAAGCGCAAGGAAAGGGCGCGAGAGCGGAAGCCACGCGTCGGAGCGCGGACCATGCGGCGGCGGTGGCGGCATCCGAAGGTCGGCGTTGCCGCCCACAAACAGCAACAAGCGCGCCTGGCGCACTCAGGCGCAAAGTGTCTTACTGTTTTCGTCGAGCTTTCGAGTTTTAGAGGAGCCGGCGGCGATAGATTCGTGGTCTTTCAAGTTGAAAAGAGTGGGATACGAAACCAAGGCCGCGGACTGACGAAAATGAGGTTTCGCCCCGGTTGACCCAATCTATGAAAGTAAGTAAGAGGGCGAGTAGCGTGTTAGCCGCGAGGGCTAGCGCACAAGTGGCGCAGACGGAGAGAGAGCCCGCCCTCACGGATCAAGCGATATAAACAAACATCCTCTCTTGACTGACCGTGCTGAGGGGTCGTTCAGAACACCAACCCAGGAAGCAAACAAAGAAGCATTGAGCCCGGGAGGAGAGGAAGACAACACAGACGTCCGGCGGCAAGCACCGGCGTGCCATTGGCGAGACCAAAATGGTTCTACGCGACAGTACTACCGTGTAGCTGGGACACGCAAACAAACGTTGTTGGACAGCTTCTGGGGGAATCCAGCGCCTGAAAGAGTGTAACTTGGTTGCCTCATCAACGTTGAAATACGACACCAATGCCCCCCGCCGGAGCGTGCCGGGCAATGCGACAAGGCAAGCTACTCTACTGCTGCGCACGTGTCAGTCTGTGCGCGTTTTCCCGCAAAACCGAGGAGTGCCGGGTGCCAAGACGGCTTCAAGAACGGTTGGTTCATCGGCTCGATAGACAACCGACGGCCTGAGCGCTACAACTGCTGTGCCATCGCGTTTGGCTCCAAAGGCGCGCCGCTCAATAGGTAAGACATGGTGGTGCACAGGTAGGCATGCCAAGATAAAATTTCCCCACAAAATCGAGGGCACGGAGGAAAGAAACACGCAGAACATCAGCACATGGGGGCGGCCACAGGCATACATATGCATATGCACCCGTTGGCAAAAAAAAAAAAAAAGCGACGGCGGCGCCTTGTCGTTTGTGCCCCGTCTTCGAACACCACATAGCATAATATTGACTCTAAATTTAGATGAATTTAATTAACATCATTTTGCACGCCATCAAAGCCGACGTAACCACTACGGCTGCTGTTTTGCGCGCAGTGCATCAGCCCAACGAACATCGAGTCGAGCCCCACCTAGAAAAGCACGGCCAGAACCGAACGTCCGTGTACCAGTAATCAGGCCATGAAAGAATTCTTCCACAGCGCGCCACCGCCCAAAACGTATCGGAGCACACTCAAGACAGGGGGGTGGTGACGCTGTATAGGTGGTGGGGCGGCCGGCGACGGCGTGCAGCCAGCGCCTTTCTGCCGTCGGTATGCAAACGCCACACCAACCACGTAAATTTACTTGCGCGTAACTCTCTCACAGGTTGGTGGTGGCCGCCGTCCATGAAAACTTCTCTCGGTGGATCACGACCAAAAAAAAAGCCCATGTATGCATATGCCTCCATACTGTGTTCAGTAGCATTACTGGCTTCTGGACGCTAACGGCTGGGCCGCAGGGTCCCCCCAAAAATGACTGTATATCTCAATGGTCTGCCGCGGCATTTTTTTTGTATATTCCTCTCTGCTGCTGCTAGAAAAAGGCTGATTTTTTTTCGCGCGCGACGAGAGGTGTTGGTTGTGTTTTCAAAAAATGTCGACTTGCACCCGGGCAGACAGGAAGAGCCAGCGTGTGTGTGTACGTGCGATGCGTGCGGGAGTTGCAGAGCTTTGCGCCGCGCGAGACGGGGGTGGGGCACACGAGGTCCCACTTTCGCTGGCCGTTGACCCACATGAAGGAGGAACAGCACGCAGCAGAGAGGACGAAGTACGCCGCCCGCGGTGTGTAGAATAACCGCAAAATACGCGAGGGCCGCAGCATTTCATGTTTTCACAAAGAAAGGCGAAGGAAGGGAAGCGGCAGGGAACTCTGTGCTGTAGACGACCACGCCGAAGGTGAAGACAGGGGACACTACTGCTGTGTGCCAACACGCCTCGTGTTTGAAGGATCGACATGCAGATGCACCCGCACGACACACACACACGCGCGCAGCAGTCTTTGCCAAAAGGAAGGGAAAAAGGGAGGGGACGAAAGGAGGAATATGCCAACCGAAGAAGGGAGACGAGAAAAAAAAGCGTCTTGGGGGTTGGTGCGTGTTTGAGGGGCGCTGGCATTTGGCTGAACGGCGGCGTGTGACATTTCTCTCTCTTTCACAAACTCGCAACAGACAGGGGGTACAGACGGGGTTCCCGTGCCGTCGCAAATACCTAAACGCTCGCCCGTTCCCTTTAGCCGTGTGGGTTTAGAGATGGTGCTTCTACACGAGTCTCCGGCAAGCACTCCTGGAGAGACGGCAGCAAAGAGAGAACGTGTGCCCCTCGTCGTTTGTATCGTGTGTGTACCCCGATTGATTTCGCAACGACTCACCTTCTTCCAGACCTTGCCGTAGGATGGCTGCACATTACACCCCTCTCGCTCGCACTGCCTGGCAACCGCGACGTCCGGGTAGCCGTCTCTTCGGGAGGTAGGGGGAGCGGAAGGAGGAGAAGCCGCAGACATGACACCCATGTTGTTGCCCAGAGCTCTAACCGCCTCGCCGCCGTCGCCGCTGGGGCCGGGATGCAAAAAAACTCCGGTCGAGCCAGAGTCGCGGGCCGACCGCACGTCAATGCCTCCTGCCACCGAGGAAGACGGCGGCCCTGAGAACGAGTGCATCGGGTAGGGCCCGGTCTGATGCGAGTGGCCTAGGGAGTACCCGTGCTGATCCGGTCTACCAGTAGGAGCATGGTGGAGTTGCATTTCTCGGCTGCGGTGGTACTCTTGGTGGGCTGTTGTTGTAGCTGCTGCTGCTGAAGACCGCGCGGCCATATGATCCGCGCTCGCTTATTTTTCTTGCCCTCTTTCTTCTTATATATTTATCTTCGCAGCACGCAGGCAGGCACGCGGCGCGCCAGCGGCAAGGCGCGGCAAGTGGATCGGGCAAGTCGCGAAGGGCGCAGGCCGGGGACTGGATCCAGCACGGGCGGAGGGGAGGAGAGTGGGGACTGCGGCAGCGGCACCTCAACCGGGGTGCAAAAGTTGTCTGCGTACGATCGCAGACCCAGGCGGGGCGGCGGACCTAAAACCCTGGGCAAGTGTGTGCGAACCTCCGGTGGTCTCCAAGAATCAACCAATGACCCGCGGGGACATACATGTCACGGATCCCCCCCTTATAGTCATTGTTCAAGTGAAACGGTTACTGCCACTGCAAGGCTCGTGGTCGTCAGAAAAATATAGCCTTTTTGGAAAAAACATCTCCAGCCAAAGAGAGCGAATCTGATCAAGGAACATCATACATCATCATACAGATATGGAGAGGCAGCCAGCATGCAGCAGGTTCTGTGTTTTCTGCGACGCTCCCAAGCACAAGCTACGGATAACGGAACAGCACGCGATCCACTCCGCAGCCACAGACGGCGGCAGGCGGGCAGCGAGCAGCGCACCACCACCCTTGCTCACCGGTCGAAACTGCACCCACCCTCTCCTTCCCCCTGCTGCCGCCGTGACGTACGCTCACTGCTGCTGCTGGTGCTCTGCAGTGACGACGAAGGCCAGAAAAACACTTGTTCCCTCTTCCAGGACTAACAGCCAAAGGGTTCTTGATGATCAGGGTTCGTTGCCCGGGCAGGGCAGTGTTTTGTCAAATCGAAGTTTTAAACGGCGACGGAGAGGAGGCCGGACAGAGGAGACCGAGACACCCGTACGCCTTGCTCTCACAAACAATGCCCGTTGCACTGGGCATCTCGGTATACGCAGACCCGAAGATCGTGAGCTATCCACACAGGATCTCTGGGGAGAGAAAGCCAGACCGTAGCAGCAAGAGATCAGAGATTCCGAGACCACCCAACATCCCGGAGTTATTTCCTGCTCGCTTTTTTTTTGATACCCATTTTTCAATCCCTACGGGCCAATCGCGTGGCAAATGCAATTATTATGAATTAATTACGGGCGTGTGAGACCGTGATCAAAGTCGACCAGCAGCAAGCCAGCAAAGCCGCGCATACACGTAGCGCGGGGAATTACGCACTCATCCATAGGTGCATGCTGAAACAACGCATGACATGCAGGTCCCACCACCACCACCACCACCACTACCTATCATCTCGTGAACGCACACACATATCGCGGACTGGCTGCAGCAAACAAAGGAAGGACTTTTTCAACACAAACAAACAAACGTACAAAAGAGATGAAGAAGATGTGCGTACATGCCCTTCGTTCTTTTTTTTTTGCGTCACTGCTGCCGCCGTCTCGCATTGAGAAAGTGAGTTATCGTGCACCGCTCGCCACCAACAGCAGTATTTATTTGATGCCATGTGGGATGTCGGTATGCATGCTACAAATAAGGGCCCCACATCACACGCCGCTCATCTATATCATATGCATATATATGTGTCTCTCTTGTTGTTGTTCTTGTTCTGGTTTGCATCTGATCAGATAGATTGATATACTGCTTGCTGTAGATTGATGCAATAAGCACTTTCTTGGAGGGAGTGCCGCTCTCGATTGATAATAATGCGTGCTGTGGTGGTTGTGCCAAAAGGAAAGCCCGCCATACTTGTATCAGAAGTAGTAGCACTTGGAAAAGCATGTCTCTGTACACGCCACGCACATGCATTCAGATTCATCATTTTCGAACCTCTTGCGTGAGAGAGAGGAGACTTGAGAGTGTCATATGTGTCAACAAAAGGAGACAAAAAAGAGGAGTATAATAATAATAATACTCCGCGACGGATTGAAACATGAACAACAACAACAACAAAAGCGGATGGATATATATGTATGTATGTATAGTATGTATGTATGTGATGTGCGAGGGAAAGGGCAAGAGGCGCGGCGTACCACACGCAGGCGGCATGTCAATACAATAACAAGTGGTCCGTACCACCTCTTTCTCTCCGAGCGTTCATCGTTGTGCAACAACATCATCATCATCAATCATTATCCTCCGTGTTCTTCTCGCAACAATAACTGGGAGGCAACGAACATGAGACGCTCAATAACCGTTGGGGATCCATATCGTCATATCATCTATCCATCTATTCTGTGTCGGTCTGCGGATTTCCGCGCTGATGATGGGTGGGTGCGCACCCCACCGCCCTGGACATACCTACATACATACCAATACATGAGTGAGTGTGTGTGTGTGTGTGTGTGTGTGTGTGGTATGTACCTGGATGGAGAGCAGATTTTCCGCACACACACACGAGAAAAAGACAGTCATCAGTC